GCACATCCCTTCAGGTGCCGCACATCCCTTCAGGTGCCGCACATCCCTTCAGGTGCCGCACATCCCTTCAGGTGCCGCACATCCCTTCAGGTGCCGCACATCCCCTCAAAGCTCTCTCGCGCATTGCCGTGACGCCATCGCCTCTTTCTTCTCCAAAAGCATTCATCCCCTTCCCTTTCCCCCTTCCTCTTCTCCCCCTTCCCCCTTCCCCTTCCCCCTTCCTCTTCTCCCCCTTACCCCTTCCCCTTCCCCCTTCCTCTTCTCCCCCTTCCCCCTTCCCCTTCCCCCTTCCTCTTCTCCCCCTTCCCCTTCCCCTTCCCCCTTCCTCTTCTCCCCCTTCCCCTTCCCCTTCCCCCTTCCTCTTCCCCTTCCCCCCAGGTGCCGCACATCCTCTCGAAGCTCTCCCGCGCACAGTACCCCGTGGAGCCGTCCTCCATCCGCTGCCGCGAAACCATCGCCTCCTTTATCTCCCCTCACTCTTGCTCCTGCGGCGCTTCTGCTAGCGGCAGCAGCAGGAGCGGTAATAACAGTAGGTGCTCTGGTGCTTGTAAAGGGGGGAGTGTTGCTACGAGCATTGTCTCCATTGGTCCGGATAAGCGCCGTAGCTTGCTGATGCTGGCCGGGCAGCTTGATCTTATAACGGAGGAGGACTTTAGCGAGGAAATCGAGGCCCTGGAAGAGATCAAGGAGGAGTGTGACAGTAACGGAAGTGGCTCCAGCAGCAGCAGGCGCAGCAGCAGCCGGAGGCAGAGCAACAGAACAACTAGGGGGAGAGTGGGGAGAAGAAGAGGTGGTGCTTATAACGGGAGTCTCAACGGCAGCATTAGCAGTGCTGGCACCTCTGGTTACCACAGTGCTAATAGCAACAGTGACAAAGCTTCAGGCACTGACACTGAAGCTTCGGCGACAGGTACGGCAACGGACACAGGTTCGGACGCTTCCGTGCCTAACTCTGTGGCATCATCCTCGTTTGAGTATGCTCCGATAGCACCAGCAGCAATGGTTCGGTTCAAGAACCCTGCTCTGCTAGCAGCTGCCCTATCGGTGGTTAAGACCATGAGGGAGGAGTGCTTGGGCATTCCTTTTGCCGAACCTGCAGCGCCTCTCCCTGCCGAACCTGCTGTGGTTGCTGGTTCGGAAGCAGGTTCGGGAATCAGCTCCAGCTTGGGCCAGGGTGCTCTCCCAACTGTTGCCGAGGTACCTGAACTTCCACCTGACCAGGCACCTGAAGTTGCTGACGACATGGAGGGTGGGAAGGGCACAGCTAAGAGCACTGGTAGCAGCCCCTCATCGGTCCTCCCTCCTGCAGCACTGTCTGTTACCCTTCCATCACAGGATGCCGATGCTGCCGATGCTGCTGCCGAAGCTGCTGCTGCTGCTGCGCCTATCACCCCCTCGTCCTCGATCGCCTCCGCCTCTCTCTCCGCCTCTCGCTCCTCCAGAGACATCTACCTTTCTGGCCCGGCCAGGAGAGCCGTGGCGGCTGCTGCCAAGGCAATGGCTGCCCAGACTACTCCTGCTGCTGCTGAGGGTGAGGTTGGTGCTGCTGCTGCTGGTGTTGGTGCTGCTGCCGGTGCTGCGGGCCCTGCAGAGTCAAAAGAATTATCCTCGGTGACCGCACCATTAAAAGCAACTGTAACTGCGCCTGGAACTGGGCCTGTTACAGCAGTTGTCACGGCACCTGAAACAGCACCTGAAACAGCATCTGAAATAGCATCTGCAGCACCAGCAGCAGCAAACTCGGAATCAGTAGCACCAGAAGCTATTGCCACCCCTGTTCCATCTGCGCCTTCTGCCAAACCTACTGTCAAACCTGCTCCCAACCCTGTTTCCATACCTACCTCCGCACCTGCTCCCGGACCTCCATCCCCAATCACCCCTTCCGGAGCTTCATTCGGGCCTGCGCGCCGAGCCGCCGCCGCTGCAGCCGCGGCCAGGCGAAAGAGGGAACAGGCTGGGAAGGCGGGAGGTGCTGCTGCTGCTGCTGCTGGTGCCGCTGCTGGTGCTGCTGCTGGTGCCGATGCCGCTGGTGCTGGTGCCGGTGGGTGCCTTGGAGAGCTGGCAGGGTGCTTTGCAGGGGCTAAGGAGCACGAAGGGAGCGAGATAAGGAAGGGGGAAGAGGAGAAGGGGAAAGAGGGGAGTGCGGAGGAGGGAAAGAAGTGTGGGGAGCATGAGGGGGAGAGTGGAGTAGTGGGGGGTGAAGCGGTTGCGGTGCTGCCGAAGACTGCAAGGGAGGTTGGGGAGGAGGTTGCAAAGGAGGGAGAAGGCCCTGCATTGAAGAAAACACCTGCGAAAACACATGAAGTTCCACCTGCTAAAGCACCTGAGGAAACGCCTGAGGAGAAAAAGGCAGAGAAGCAGTCAGAAGTGGTGAAAGAGGTGGTGGGAGTGGTGGAATTGGTAGAAGTGGAGGAGGTGGAGGACGAGGAGGGGGTGGGGATGGGAGTGGGGACAGGCGTGGGGGAGGGAGAGGAGGACGTTATGGGAGAGGAAGAGATGGAGTCTCAGGCGTTTGAATCAGAGCGGAAGGTGCAGCACTGGCTGGAGCAGCAGCAGCAACAGCAGCCGCAGCTGCAGCAACAGCCGCTGCAACAGCAGCAGCAGCCGCAGCAGCACGAGGAGTTGGATGAGCAGCGAGAGAACCTGACGCCAGACCACCTGCCGAAGCACCACCAGCATGCTTCAGAGCAGCAGCAGAAGCAGCAGCAGCAAAAGCAGCAGCAGCAGAAGCAGCAGCCGAAGCCGCAGCAGAAGCAGCAGCCGAAGCAGCAGCCGAAGCAGCAGCCAAAGCAGCAGCAGAAGCATCAGCAGAAGGAGCAGCCGAAGCAGAAGGGAGAAGAGCAGCACAAGAGTGCGTTGTGGTGGCTTCTGGAGGAACGGAATGAGTATCAAACGAGCAAGAAGCAGGAGCAGGAGAAGCGGGAGAGGAAGGGCGATAGAGCAAAGGAGTGGCAGGTGCAGGAGCAACCGAGCGCAATCCCATCAGTGTTTGATGAAAGGGGGCGAGCACGCTCCAGGGGAAGAGACAGGGAGACAGAGAGAGAAAAGGAGAGAGGAGATAATCACGGAGACAAGCTCAAGGAACCCCGACGCTCCTCCCCCCTCCCCCCTCCCCCCCCAAAGAACCCCCTCCCCTCCATCTTCCTCCACCCTGCCGAGCCTGCCGAGCTGGTTCGGATGCTGCAGGGCTCCGAGCCTGCGCGGCTGCACGCGGCAAGCCGCATTCGGGAGGTGGCTCGCACGGACGAGGACGTGCGGGAGCACCTGAGGCACGCGGGGGCGCTGAGGCCGCTGCTGGACTGCATGGCTGCGGCTGCCGGGCTGCCGGTTGGGGTTGAGGCAGTGGTGAGGCAGAGTCAGGAGAAGCTGGAGGGGCAGGGGGGGGGAGCAGGGACGGAAGGTGCTGCTGCTCCTGCTGGTGCTGCTAATGGTGATGCTGCAGCTGGTATTCCCCTCTATGCGTCTCCTGCTGCCACCTATCCTTACCCTCCGCCTTCTCCTTTTGCGTCAAACATCTCCCTGACAGCTCACCCCTGGGTGGCCGCCTCCCCTGCCCACCCACCCATCCGCTACTCCTCCTCTGCCGGCTCGACCAACCCTTCCTCCACTCCCTTCGCAGACCGCGCAGGGTCCTTCCGGGGCCCTTCCCCTGCTGCTGCCCACCATGGCTTCCCCCCTCTCCACCACCAGCAGACCCCTCGTTCCTTCTCCACCCCCTCTCACTCACTCTCTCACTCCCTTTCTCGCTCCCACTCCTCGCATAACCCCTCCCTTCCAGCTCCCCCCACCCCCACCCCCCCTCCTCCCTGTCCTAATGCCAATTGGGTGCTAGTGGAAACAGCCACATTCGCTTTAGTCAACCTCGCTTTAGACCCCATCAACTGCGAGCTAATCACCGATCTTGGCGCCGCCCCAGTCCTCGTCCACATCCTCCGTGCCGCCCCCACCGCCACCCGGGACGCCGCAATCGCAGCCCTCTTTGTCCTTTCCTCAAGCGACGCCGCCCGGCTCGACATCGGCGCAGCTGGCGCAATCCCGCTTCTCGTCTCCATCCTACTAGATGAAAAGCCGCAGCGGCAGCCCTCAGCCTGTCCGGCAAACTCAGACCGAGCCAAAGAAGATGCACTCCTCACCCTCCTCAACCTCTCCCACCTCGCTTCTAACAAATCAACTCTCCTCCTCTCCGGCACCCACCGCGCATTAATCCACGTTATAGTGCGCGCTCCGGGGCATCGCCTGGCAGACAAGGCCCTCGCTACAATGAGGCAGCTTGTAACGAGGCCGGAGGGGAGGGAGGCGGTGGTGCAAGCAGAGGGGGTAGGCGCGCTGGCACGGGCGCTGGAGCGAGGTTCGGACAAGGGCAAGGAGGAGGCGACGGCTATATTAGCGGTGCTGTGGGATAATGATGGGTCGGGGCATAGGAAGGCGATCAAAGAGAAGAAGGTGGGGAAGCAGCTGTTGGCCGTGGCAAGGGTGGGGACGGAGCGAGGCCGTGCAAAGGTACGAAGTTGATGCAGTGGTCCATGGTCAGGCTCACATCTCGTTGCATGTCAAGATTCCATAACCCCCTCGCTGACACCCCCCTTGTGTCTGAACATCACGTCTTCTCTGTATGCAGGCGCTCCAGCTGCTGATGCACCTTGCGTGAGTGCAGCGCGGTCTGGCTGAAGGCTGCTGCAACCACATCTCCCCATGCTGCATGGAAGTTGGAAGTCACTTGGTCGGGATGTCACCTTGCAGTGCGCAGTTGCTTTGTTCTCAGTATGCCCTGGGACTTCCTGCGTTCTAGTTAGAGCTGCTACAGGCACAGCTGTCTCCACCCCAAGTGCCAGATCCCTGTTCCACATGGCCTCTAGTAATGCTCACTCACCTCTATTTGGCTCCACTTTGTGTAGATTGCTATATATTTTTGTGACTTTCCCTCTTGCTTTGTGCTCTGGTGTTTGCCCTAGATGTGCCTTCGGGGTATAAACAGTAAATCAAAACCTGACACCCTGTGATGTGACGAGCATAATTCACCCAAGTTGTTGCAGCATAATTTTGTCAAATACAACGTAAAGAGCAACACTGTACTTCTCATTGACGCCCAAACCTCGATGACATGATTCACCTAATTCACCTCCTTGGCTCCAACTGCAGGACGAAGAACATGATATGATGCTGCAGTGTAGAGACACAGGAAGCTGGCGCTTAGTGCCCCCGAGAGGTAGACATGAAACTCAAGAGTCGAGCAGCCTTTCGTTATCGCCAGCTGGTGTTACGTCGGACGGACCCTCACCTTCACGCCAGGCAGTCCAACACCGCTTGCTGGTTCATGAGGTCAGGTAGTGAAAGGTGCTCAGGCGCAGCACACAATAAGCATTGGATGGTTTTGTTAGACAGTACAGGAACCGGAAGTTGGAGATAACCTCGTATTCTATTTGTTCTCAATACAGTACAATAAAGGAACGTTTCGTACAAGACATTAAAAAAACAAGAAGCTAAGTATCCTTTACACAACCATGGCGATGGCCATGTCAATCGGCTGCGCGTTGACGGCGGAGGCGGTGGCGACGTTGTCCTCGGGCATCACGGCAACCACGTCATCCTCAGGCTCGGCAGCCACCACAGCCACGGTGTTGTCAGAGTCAGCAGGCTCGGCAACAGCCACGGTGTTGTCGTCATCAACAGCCTCGGCAGACGACGCAACGACGGAGTTATCCGAATCGGCGACATCCTCGCTAGTGGCAGCCACGGTATTGTCGGAGTCGTCAGCAGCATCCTCAACGGTAGCGACGGTGTTATCCTCATCAATAACGATCTTATCGGCCTCAGCGGCGGTCACGCCGTTGTCCTCCTCGTCCCACGCCGCCATATCGGTCAGCGCGAGCTCCTGGATTTTCTCCCGGGAGAGGCCCTTGAGGTCTGGAACAACATTGTTGTCAGTGATATCGTCGTCGAGTGGCGCGGGCCGCGCGTGGCACACGGCGAAGAGAGCGAGAAGGGCGAAGGCGAGAACAGCATAGCGAGCCATAGCTGGGAGTTAAAGCTAAGAAGAAGTCTAAAAACGAAGAGTGACAATTACAAACCCTGACTGGAAATTCCTGTGAGTAAGAAACAGAATAGGAGACGGGGATCCTGTACGAGAGAGAGCGAGAAGGAGGACTGAGGTCGACTGAAGCGGAAAATGAGAAGAAGGTGGGGACGAGGTGGTAGTTGAGCGCCTGCGACGTTCGTCGTCGTAGGGCCTGGGTGGGGGGGAGGGTGAGCATGCGACAGCTGTTTGCAGTAAGCTGATCGCACTGCCGGGCTGGCCTCTGGCTATTTGGTCAAGCGACAGGCTGTGCACAGCGTCGCAGAAGGAGACTTGTCGCCAAAATGTGGGACGAGGCATGTCCTGTACGACGAGACTGCAGCAAGAACGAGGACGAGTCGCTGCTGTTACAGGTGGGTCTCAGGTGCTTTGCTTCTCGCTGAACAGAACGTAACGGACAAGACTCAGCGAGAAGCAAAGCAATAACGCAACGGACAAGTGTTGGGGGATCATGGTCTGCTAGTCAGCGAGCTTTGCGAAAAATGCGAAGTCCGAGACATGACGTAGACGAAATCATCACTAACAAAAGGCTCGCGAAGCATTGCTGATGCTCATTGGTTGAGTGACGTGGTTCTCAGGAATAGTCTCAAGAATTGTGCGCATGCCGAGTCCTCACCTGATTCAGTCTGATTGTTGAATGCACCTGAGGACTTGCATGGCACCTGCAACTCCCTTTCAGATCCGGGCACAGTCGTTTCCGTCCGGCTGCTCCGATAAAAACATCTACACCTCCAACACTTATAGACCAGCTAGAATGCCTGGTGGTTCAATTCGGTGAATTTAGAAACTGGAATAAGCATGATAAACTGTAAAATTTCAACTTTACAGAAAACTCTTATTGGTGCAATGCACACCCAAACAAAACGACATGACAGGGTCGTGCCAGGTGGGCGGCATGTCAGCTAGGGGTTAGGGTTGTTATTGCGCTGCTCAATACCCAGAAAAATTCCTAACCCAACTACACTAGGAGAATGCCCCATCTGTAGCCAATGTGAGAGCAGAGGGGGCGGTGGTGAAGGCAGAGGGAGCAGCAGTAGGCGAACTGCCCGCAGCCATGTTGATTGCTGCTGTGGTGCTTCTAGTACTGGCATGCACACCTGTCATTGCACCTCTGGTTATTGCAGCAGATACAAGGGCTGACGACACAGCTGTGTTCCCATAGTAACTGCCAAAGGCAGGACTGCCATAGCCACTGCTGCCGTCACCGCCGCTACCAGCTGCATCAGCCGTGGCAGGATCAGCAACTGCAGCACCAGAAACAGCAGCAGAAGCGGCAGCAGTGGCAGCGTCAACAGCACCAGCAGCAGCAGCAGCAGCAGCAGCAGCAGCAGCAGCAGCACCAGCAGCAGAGGGGAGGGCGGGCAGGGGGAGGTCAGAGGGGCCGGCAGCAACGGCGTGGTGGCCTGTGAAGTGGGAGAGATGCCCCAGGAGCTTGTCCTTGCGGCTGCACGGTGGAGGGACGGGAAACGGGGTGGGTAGCAGCAGAAGGGAGAGAGGGAAGCGAATGATATGAGGGTTCCGGCAGCTACGGCGTGGTGGCCGGTGAAGTGTGAGAGATGCCCCAGAAGCTTCTCCTCGCGACTGTGTGTGGGGGGGGAGCGGGGTGAAGGAGAAGAGGGAAAGCGAGGGGAGGGGAGTGGGGGGGGAAGGTTGTTGGTTGTTGGGGAAGCGGGGGAGACGAGACAGTGAGAGTGGGGAAGGTCCTGCAGATGGTGGCTTGGGGAGTATGAAGATGATTTTTGAGTCGACTCAAACATCAGTACAAAGCAGCACTGCATGAGAAATCTCCAGGACGACCACCCGCAGTGATTCTCATGCATGTGCAGATCAAGACACTAAAGAACACTTGCAACACCCTGAAGCAAGGGTTGGCATGTGAAGCAGACCCCACAACCTTCTTCCCCAAAACCCCGCCAACCCACCTGAAGGACGAACCACAGGAGCATTTCCACGACTAGCGCCAGCAGCGCTCGTCGTGGCAAACTTCTACACGCTGCGTCTACCACTGTTTTCTGATAAAACACTAAAAACCCTGCAGCTTACCTAAAGGACGACCCACAGGAGCACTTCCAGGACGAGCGGCCGCAGTGCTTCTCGTGTGTGCGCAGATCGGCCAGCACGGCAAACTGCTTCACGCCGCAGCGGCTGCACGTGTACTGCTTGGCGCAGTGCGTGCGCCGGTAGTGGTTCTTCACACACAGGACGGTTTTCAAGGGCTGGAAGTCCGGATGTAGCTGGTTGCGCTTGCACCCGAATTCCGGGCAGCTGTAGCGCTGGGGCCGGGCGGCGGAGCGGGCGGCGGAGCCGGCGGCGGAGAGTGCGGGGCGGGAGAGGGAGGTGGCGGCCTTGTAGGCATCGCCATGGCCGCGCATGTGCATGCGCAGGTTGGCGTCGCGCTTGAAGCCCTTGCCGCACACCTGATGGGAGGAGGAGGGGGGGAAGGGGGGGGAGGAGGGGGGCGGGGGGGAGAGGAGGGATTAGAGGCCACGTGCGGAACTGCTGCCAGCATACAGACCCAAAACAGGCGCACTTTGCAGACACAAAAGGCAAATGTGTACAATACTACCACACTTGTAATCCAATGCTCACTCCTGAGTCCGCTCAAAATTCGCTCTGCACATGATACTAGTACCAGGTTTATTTTGAGGCGACTCAGAATGTATTTTGAGATTTTGAGTCGACTCAAAACCACACTTGTAATCCAATGCAAGAACCAAAGCGCACCTCGCAGAAGAGGGTGTGCTCCGCCATGAGCTCCTCCACCTGCAGCTCCACCAATTCAAACCCGCCACGTGTCACCCCCTCACTGCCTCTTCTTCGCTCCGCCGCTCCTCCCTTGCTGCTCCCCCCCTCCTCATCCTCCTCTTCCTCCTCCTCTCCCTCCCCCTCCTCTTCTTCCTCGTCCTCATCCTCGCTCCCGTTTCGCATTTGGCTCTCACTCTTAACGTCAACTGGGAAGCCCGCCCCTCTCCCAACCTGTCCCCCACTCCCCCCCCCTTTTCTTCCGCGCCCTTCTGCCACCCATCCCCCTCCTAGCCTCCCCCTGCCTCCGCCTCTCCCTCTTCCGCCACCCGCCCCCCTGCCCCCTCCCCTACCCCCTCCTTTGCCCCCTCGCACCCTGCTTCTGCTCAGTCCCATGCCACTGCTGCCGCACAAAACACTGCCGTCCATTCCACTGCCGCCCAGAATGCTGCCGCCCATGCCACTGCTGCCTCCCTGGCTGATGCTGGCAGTAGCCATACTCACACTGGGGGGCATGGCGTCGTCACATGCCGCCATGGCGTTACCACGAGATGCCATGGCAAAGCCACCACCATGCAATGGCATGGGCGCGACTTTGGTGTCTCCACCCGTGCTGACGTCGTCTGCAGCCTGCACTTCCTCCTTCACAGGAGCACGCATCAAGCTACCACCACCATCACCACCACCAACATCAGCACCACAACAACCATCACCATCGCCATCACCACCACCCTGACCCCCTCGGCTCTCGGGCAAGTTGCCGCTGCCCACGTGAGGGCCTGTAGTCTCCATCCCGCCCTCTGCTGCTGGCAGCTGGCCTGCCTGCTGCTGCTGGCTGCGAGATTCCAGGAGCCTTCGAAGCAACTCAATCTGTGGCTGCAGATGCTGTTGCTGCTGCTGCTTCTGCTGCTCCTGCTGCTGCTGCTCCTCCTGATCGGTTTCTTTTAGGTTGCCCTCCAGTTGTTGCTCCTGTTGCTGCTGCTGTTGCTGCTGCTGCTGCTGCTGCTGCTGCTGCTGCTGCTGTTGCTGGCGTTGCTGCTGCTGCAGGTGCGGTGGCAGCAGGTGCTGCTGCTGCTGCTGCTGCTGCTGCGAGCTTTGGGCCGCCTCAAGAAGCCCCCTTCCTCCATTCACAACCCCTGCGATATCCGCCTCCACCACCAGCTGCTGCTGGTGTGGCGGCAGCAGGTGTTGTTGTTGCTGCAGCTGCAGGTGTTGCTGCTGGTGCGGGTTCTGGGGTGCCCCAACCCCCCCACTCCCCCCATTCACAACCCCTGCAATATCCGGCACAACCAGCTGCTGCTGCAGGTGCGGTGGCAGCAGCCCCACAGCCGCGGCCGCAACCTGCTGAATCACCGTCGCCACTCCCACCGCCGCCACCTCCTGCTGTTCCTGCAGCGCACGCGACGGCGCGGACTGCGCTACTAACGGGACCAGCACTTGTAACGCGGATATTTTCGACTGGAGGGAGGAGAGCGCGCCCAGGAGAGCGGAGGGGGAGATGGGGGGGGCGGCGGAGGGGGTTTCGTGGGCGGGGGGGAAGGAGGGGGGCATTGGGGGGTAGCGGGAGCTGTAGCAGTGGCGGAAGGGGAGAGGGATGGGGCAGCAAGAGGGGCAGGGAGATGGTTTCCAGCAGCTGTGACCGTGGCAGGTGTGGTAGAAAAGAGGGCCGCGTGTGCAGGGTGGAGGTGAGTGGGGAAGGGGGGGAGAGAGGAGGCGGCGGTGGCGGAAGGTTGGGGCATCAGGGGGAATGGGGAGGGGGAGTGGGTGGAAAGGAGAGGCAGGGCGGCAGGGGAGGAGTGAGAGTGGGAGTGAGAGATGGAAGGGGACGGGGACATGTGTGAGCTACGGTGCTGCTGCTGCTGCAGCGGGTGAATACCAGTACTTGGTGCGCTGGCGGTGATGCCTGCATGCGGTGCGCCATGGGGAGGCATGCCAAGATGCATGGCCCCATGGTGCTGCTGATGATGATGATGATGATGCCGCTGGTGCTGCTGTTGCTGCTGCTGCTGCTGCTGCTGCTGCTGCTGCTGCTGCTGCTGCTGCTGCTGCTGCTGCTGCTGCTGCTGCTGCTCCTGCTGGCTCTGCCCTTCCACATGCGCCATGCCTGCTCTTTCCAACTCCACATCATACCCCATCGCACCCGGCTGAGAGCCCACATGATGGCTCAACCCATGTGTCTGCGGCGGGACCATGCGCCTGGCGTCCCCATGCGCCCCCCCCTCATCATGACCAGACCCCATGGGACTTGATCTCCCAGCGTCGCTGTCACATGCCACCACACTGCCACCACCCATGCTGCCACCGCCCACGTTGCGACCGCCCATGGCTCCTGGCTGGCTCGCGGCGATCGAGCTGTCCTCAAGCAGCATTCCTGGGCGGCCCCTGCGCTGCCCCACCCTCCGCCCTTCGCTGACCGCACCCGATGACGTCCATGATGACGTGGCGCTCTCGGTTTCCACGCTGGCACGGGACGGCAGGGGGAAGGACTGCTGCCGGCGGTGCGCCGAGAGGGAGTGCCGTTGGTGCTGCTGCTGCTGTTGGTGCTGCTGCTGCTGCTGCTGCTGCTGCTGCTGCTGCTGCTGCTGCTGGTGCTGGTGTCCGACTCTCCTCATCCCACCATCGCTGCTGCTTCTGCTCACAAGCGCTCCTTGCAAGGCGAGTAGCCCTAGCCCTCTGTCGTCCCCCTGTCCCCCCTCCCTCTGTCGCTTACTACCCACTGCGGCTTGCATCATCATGTCGTCCCGCACCAAATGATCTTCCACCCACTGCGGCTCCTGCCTCCCCTGATGCTTTATCTGTTCCTGCATCTGCTGCTGCTGCCGTCCCTGCTGCTGCTGCGGTTCATCTTGCCACTCATGCTGCTGCTGCTGCTGCTGCTGCTGCTGCTGCGTCTCCTGCTTCTGGTGCTGGGGCTGGCTCAAACATTGGCCCTGGTATTGCTGATCACGAGGATGCTGCTGCTCGTGAAAACTTGCATTTTGAGCGTCCAAGCGAAAGCCATTGAGGTATGAGTGTTGCAGGTTAGAAGTGGGCTTCACAGGACCACCATCATTAGCATCTGAAGTGTACCCTCCCCACTGCACTCCCTGCTGCTCGTGTCCCTTCTCTTGACCCTGCTGCTGCTGCTGCTGCTGCTGCTGCTGCTGCTGCTGCTGCTGCTGCTGCTGCTGCTGCTGCTGCTGCTGCTGCTGCTGCTGCTGCTGCTGCAGAAGTCCCGGCCTCTGTATTCCTCCCGACGTCACGAAATCTGTATTTTTCTGCTCATTCTTCCATGCAGGACGCATGTGAGGATCTTCGAAGCACGCCTGCTCGTTCCTCCACGCGTCGTCAACCGCTGGAGGCCCGTCATTATTAAACGAGCCTGGATAAGCAGCTGCCGACGCAGCAGGTGCCGTGCCGCCGATAGCAGGCGCCGCCGCGGCGTTACAACTGTCAGGTGTCGCGAAGTCTCGTAACAGTGCATCGTACGCCCCCTCAATAGATGAAACCTGGAACTCGCCGATACCCCATGGATCTGCGTCGAGGTTTCTCGCCGACACGTCGAATTCCATGTCCGACCCTCCGTGATATGCGCTAAGATTCGCGTCTTGCTCCATGGGGACTACTCATGAACGAGACGCCACGCCGCGACGTCGAACCTGGAACTAAAAAAAAAAAAAACCAGTAGCGAGCGGCTGTGACAAAGGGATTTCCTGTAACTGAGGAATATTCTACCGCGACTTGGCGAGACCTGACAAAACGTCAAATAGCGAACGAGTGTCTCCTAATTAACCCGCAATAGTAACCGCCAGATTAGTGTAGACGACTTCGTACTCGATGCTTCCGACAGCTCGATGCTTCCGACAAACATGAGCGAGAGACAAAAAGAGAGCAGCAGGCAAACGGAAAATGCAACAGAAATATATGGGGGAGAAAAGGGCGTGGGATTGGGCATGGAGGGTGAAAAGCAGGGTTTGCATTTCGGAGGTATTTCCGGAGAAGGTAGTTGTGAGAAGCAGGTGAGACCACCAAGGCCCTATTGAACCGTTCGATCCGATGCGAGATGACTTTCGAGGCCCGATCAACCGTCCGATTCGATCCCATCCGTCCAGCCAACCACCCATCCACCTTTTCTCAGCTCCACCTCGACCAACCAATAACCACCGACCCCGGCCACAACCCGCCAGAGAAGGACTGCCTGACTGCCTGTCTACCACCAGCTCCTCTAATCGAAATTTGAGGAAATCCTGATCGTCAAATTCAGCGCGGACCCGCGAGTGTTGCCCGCAAGGCATTTCGGGGGGAGAAGCAGGCCCGCGATTGGCCGTACCAAAAGGTCGGTCAGGTGAAGCTGCCCGTGCAGTAGGTATGTATGCAGCCATGAGGCGGCTGGCAGAGCGTGGACGGATTGCACCGACACAATCACAAACGTCCACGGCAGAGATGTGCTAAGCATCTACAGTGCAAGCCCCCCGAAGCTGCCACGACGCCCCGAAAGCAGATGACGTCTGTAAGGAATGGCTGCGTTCTGCAGGCAAAAAAGGAAAGTGCAGATTACATCAGAGCACCTTCCCAAAGCGAGATTTTTTGCTTCGGATCGAGGGTCAGCCCGCAAATTTTCGTCCAGACCTGGCACAACGTACCCGAACTTAGTTACGTCGACATGCCTACAGAACAGGTCCATCTGCGGATGACATCTACCTCAGGGAAACACCCCCGTCGCTTCCCTCCCTGGCAAATTTGACGCAAACTTGACGCAATGCTGACGTTCGCTTAATCGTGAAGTCCAACTTGCGTGTGGCGTTACATCAACCGCGAGGGTGTACTAGGCCTCCACACCCCAAAAATACAACCGCCACCACTTTACCCCCCCTCGCGAGCTTGGGCCTACCGTGAAAAAAAAACAGCACCTGAACAAACCCATCGCCAACGAGTCATATCTCAGCTTAACCTTTTTTCGGCATTTTGCCCCATATTATTTCTCTCATGCCCTGGGGCAGAAGTTTTTTTTTCGCAATTTTGAAATTATCTCCTCTCTCCTTTCGCTTGCGCTTTCCACAATTTGGTCGCGTGGCTTCCCAGCGAGGTTGGGAAATTGCACCTGGTTTGGGTGGTAACCAGTGCTCTTGAAGTCGCTTAAGGAGCTTCCTCAATGTAGACGTCGACGTCAACGTCAAATGCATGTAGAACACAGGCAATGAGTGGCTGAGTTCTGCAGGCAAAAAAGGAAAGTGCAGTTTACATCAGAGCACCTTCCGAAAGCAAGAGATTTTGCTTAGGATCGAGGGTCAGCCCGCAAATTTTCACCCAAACCTGGCACAACGTACCCGAACCTGGTTACATCGACATGCCTGCAGAACAGCTCCATCTACATATTGCATCTACGTCAGGGAAACACCCCCCTCGCTTCCCTCCCTGGCAAATCTGACGCAAACGTGACGCAACTCTGACATTCGCTCAATCGCGGCGTTCACCTTGCGTCCGGCGTTACATCAGGCGCAAGGGTGTACTAGGCCTCCACACCCCAAAAATGCAACCGCCACCACTTTAGCCCACCTCGCATACCTGGGCCTGCCCTGCAAAAAAACAGCAGGTGAACAAACCCAGTTGGGAGGCAGTGGGGTTGTGAGGGCATCTCACCAAACACAACGCTAATTTTTCGTCATTCTGCCCCGTAATATATCTCTGCTGCCCTAGGGCAGCAGTTTTTTGTTGCGCAATTTTGAAAATCTCTCATCTCTCCTTTCGCTTGCGCTTTACATAATTTGGCCGCGTGGCTTCCAAGCGAGGTTGGGAAAGTGCACCTGGTTTGGGTGGTAACAAGTGCTCTCGAAGTCGCTCTCTGGCTTTGTAAGGAATTTTCCATTCCTTACCGAAAGGTACTGCTATCGCGTACGCTCGAATACACCCGAAGCCTCGGGACTATTCGAGACCTTTCTGACAGAACCGCCTCGGCTTCTCCAGACCTTCTAGTCGACCTTCGGGAGTTCTTCGGGCCTCGCTTCGTCACTTCGCGACCCTTCGATCTCTTTCCCGAACCTTCCCATCGCATGGTTAGAATAGCTCTGGTGTTCCTATATCTTGGCTTGCCATTCCTTGAATTGTCATTCAGTGAGTGAACATTTCATTATTCATTTCCGCGCTATTCTGCTTGTTCATTCATAACCCCTGGTATTCAGAGCCACTTTCCTCGCTTACCCGTTTTCGTGAGTTGATTTTTTTTTCGAGGGGGTAAGTCCCTCACGTAAGCTGCAATGCGGTTGCTCGCAAATTAGACTGATTAATTTGCCCAACTACGATAGCGTTTGCGCTTACCTGAGTACAGGCACATTACGGATTTCCCCCTGCCCTGGCGGAGCATTCGCCAAATGGACCAAGCTCAGTTCAACGAGCTTCGGGAGCTGTTCAACGCCATGAAACACACGCATGGCTACAGTGCTGGAGGACAACGAGCGACTACGTGCAGAAGTTGCCGAGTTACGCCAGGCGCGAGAGGATTCGCGTCAGAAAACTGCCGTCCAAGAGGAGGTCGCCAGCACCGGACGTGTCGAAACCGTCTTGGACGAAATCACACGTGAGGTGTCACAGGAGCACAAGGACAGTGAAGCTGCCGCAGCAGCTGACGTGGCAGCACGAGCAGCAGCAGCAGCAGCAGCGACAGCAGCAGCCGCTCGGTCAGAAGCAGCCGCTACTGTAGCCGCACCGGCATTTATGCCGATCGTGACGACAGCGACGATCAAACCGACAATGCCGCCCCCGTTGAACCCCACAGATAAAAATACTACTGTTACGGGCTGGTTATTTTCGGCGGAACTTTATTTCAACGCCGCTGGGATCACTGCTGACGATATAAAAATTCGACTGGTTGTATCACTACTGCGGAGACCTGCGCTAGATTGGTGGCGATATACTCTACAGGAGGGGGAGTTTTCAGCAGGCGACACACAGGGATTTTTCGGACACTTTGGGTCTGCTGCCCAAGGGTCAACCGCGATTTTTGGATCGACCAAGATTCGCACGTGGAAGGCGTGGGGTACAGCTCTGCGTGAACGGTTCGAGCCAATATCCGCCTCGGACAACGCACGCACGAAGCTGGACAACTGGCGCCAGTGGAGTTCTGTCCAGGATTACGCGTCGGTCTTCATGGCGTTATGCGATCAAATCACCGACATGCATGACTCCGAGAAGAAAGCTCGATTCATTTCGGGTTTGAAGCAGGACATTAAATGCGAGGTCCGGCTGCGACTACCAGCGACGTTTCACGAAGCCGTCCGGATCGCATACAACTTCGACGCACATCGAACGTATGCGAGAGCGGGTTCCCGGGAGGGAAATCGTTTTCATGGACAGGATCCACGGCCCACGATTCACGGCGTAGTGGCGATGGAGCACATGGAAGGCCTTCGCAAGGGACAATGTTTCAACTGCCACCAGCCGGGTCACCAATCTCACGATTGCCCCCGAGAGAAGCAGATAAAGAAGAACGACGAAGGCAGGTCGGGAAACGCCAAGCGTCAGTAGCGGTCGGGCCCCCTACTGACCCTGCCTCATCGCCCGAAAAACACCATCCCCACCGAGTAGTGATTCCGATACATGCTATCAACCGCTCCCGGCTGAATAAGGGGGATGACCCAGTACCCTGTACTGGCGGAGGGACGACTCAACGGAAGAAAAATAAAAATATTCATCGACGGAGGTGCGAGTCACAGCCTGATAAATCGAGAGACAGCACGACGACTACACTTGACACTGGAGAGGTGTCTGCCCGAAAGCGACGCACGATTGGTGGATGGCACCCCGCTGGCGATGCGCGACAAAGTACCCGTCGTTCGAATGAAGTGTGGCGAAGATTTTGGTTTCAGCGCGCCGATACTGGCAACAACGCTCGACAGCTACGACGTGCTATTGGGACGCGATTGGCTGCGACGATTCAACCCCCAGATCGATTGGACAACAGGCGAATGCTCAGTGAAGTGCGACAAAGGCTGGCGAAATTTACCCACGTGGCCGGAAGGAGAGACAACATCGACACGAGTCAACGCGGTGTGCCTCAAGCGAGCGGTCAAGAATGGAGCGGATTATTACGCCGTCCATCTAACCGAATCGACGGCGCAGAGCGAGGTGACCGACATCAACAAACTCCGCGCTTCGATCCCGGATGACTTGGCGAAAATCATTCGAGAATATCCTGAGATTTTCCCGGACGACTTGCCAAGTGGACTGCCACCCGAACGACCCCAGGACCACAAAATCGAGCTGGAGCCCGGCGCGCAGCCTACAGTACGCACGCAATGGCGCCTGACTCAGCCGGCCTAACAGGAGTTACGAAACCAGCTGGACTACCTGCTGGCGAAAGGGTTCATTCGGCCGAGCACGTCACCGTCGCAGCACCGATCCTGTTCACCCCAAAGAAGGACGGTGGACTTCGCATGTGTACGGATTATCGTGCCCTTAATCGGGTAACGATAAAATCGCGTTACCCAATCCCACGCACGGACGAACTGATCGACAACCTTCGCGGAGCTCGCTATTTCTCGAAGATCGACCTTCGCGGCTGTTACCATCAAATTCGGGTGTTCGCTGACGATTGCCACAAGACCGCGTTTCGAACTCGCTACGGGAGTTACGAATACACGGTGATGCCGTTTGGATTAACGAACGCCGCCTCGACGTTCCAACTCACCATGAACGGGGTGTTCCGCGATCTACTCGACAAATGCGTGATCATTTACATGGACGACATCCTGATCTACAGCAAGACCCGGGAGCAACATTTAAAGGATTTGGAAGCGGTTTTTCAGCGGTTGCAGCAACATCGTCTCATCACCAAGGGCTCCAAGTGCGAGTTTTTAAAACAAGAATTGGAGTTCCTGGGGCACGTGATCTCCACGGAGGGGATTCGGATAGACCC